AAGCTTCTTTGCATTACTTAATTCCTGCAACTGCAACAGAGTCTGCTCATCAATTAAGGCATGAGCTTTAGCTTCTTCCAAATCATAACACACTCCTAATTCTGGAGAAACTATTCCAGAAAGGATCAGCTGATTCTCGAGCAATCTAATTCCAGTATCATAGTCAATAAAACCCTTTAAAATAGACTGAAAGACTGAAAGGACTTCTCCAGTCGTTTGGTCAATGACACCAGCAATGACTTTATTCACCTAAAAAGGAATATAAAAGAAAAGCTATCACTATTTTCAGACTGTATTTTTTTTTTTTATTTTGAATGCATGATAAGCATAAAAACATGTACTTACCAGGCCTGAAGGAATGCTGTGAATGTTAGCAGCTCAAATGCGCAAGTGATCTATGTCAGTCATTCAACAGCACGCGATGTGATAAAAGATTTAAAATCAACATGCATCTGTGAATTGAAAACCTATGCTTTGCATACATAAATAGGGTTAGTGAGAGACCATAGAAGAAATGATTGCAGAGTGAGCAAATAGAACATATACCTGAAAGGCAAATTTTCATGCTCTAAATGTCTGTGAAAGGTTAGAATATTCAGAAACAGTATGTGATTCAAAACAACCATGCTATTCATGTTTACAGCATACAGCACTTCTGTATATACACTCAACAATATGGAATCAGATACTTTAGCACCAAATATTGCATTTAGTTTGCATGGAAAGCATGAAGTCAGTTTGACAACATTATTTGAACTAATTATACAGACGCTGCTTCTGTGTGTATATGAGAACACTCATTTGTAACATAATTTTTGAGAATTCCATATTTAAGATTAAGATCCATTAACAAATATATTTGTAGTGTCTCAGAATTAATCACATTATGTGCTCCCATTTTCATATCCAGTTAAATTTTACGAAAAACTGAAAGTAAATCAGTTCTAGGACATCTCTGAGTGATATATGGGAGAGATTAACATGTTATTTTATGGTGTCATTTTTGCAGCAGAAACACAGACTTATCTAGTAGTAAAAGAATGGCTTTTAAGAGAAGAGTTAAGAGATGAATGATTTGTTTGTCTTTCTTCATGCAAGGCACACATTATTAAGACTCTTCACACAAAAAATCTGATGAATAGAATGTTCATATGCACAGGTAAGGTCACACACAGTATTCCATAGCAAGTACACAAAACCTCCAGTCAATTAAATCTCAGGTTCCTTTACACACTGTTAATTGCAGCTTCTTCTACTGATCATGTGTGGTTCCAAAACCATGCAGTAAATCTCAAAACAGACTGAAATGTAAATTTTAATCTTGTTACCTTCTCTTCCATCTTTTCATCACTCGGATACTGTGATTCCTGCAACTGCTTCAAAGCTTCATTGGATAACAAGTTGTAGCTCTCCTGGAGGGATCTGACTTGCTTTTCCATTTCATTTCTCTCTTCATCTGTCATTCTATTAAGAAAAAAAAAAGAAAAATGGAAAGAGGAGATCTCTCTGAGTAATATGTAACCTGCAGGGAATGATCTTCTTATCTTTATGAAAAGAAGGTAGGGAAATTGGTAAAAGTAGTCTGAAAAAAATATAGCCTCATTATGAGGATGTTCAAGAAAGTCACAATCTGCTTGTAGTCATTCAGGAAAAGAAGCTACATTAATCTAGGATTTATGTTGAATATCACTAAATCATTTAACATTTGCATGTGCCTTTGTCTATTGATTACCAGTCAAGACAGGTTACATAGCTATCAAGGAGTCATGAGATATCTCAGCAATTTAACATCTTAAACAGTCTGATTTCAGACAGACTAAACCAACTTGTAACATATAGTTCAGGTGCTAATTTACTACTGATTTTTTAACTATTTTGAGTTCAAATAAAAATTAATATCTAATGGGTTTTTTAAGGTGACCAGAAGTATATAAACCTAGCCAGATTCTTGAAATAAACAAAATTGCATCAAGCTTCCCCAAATGGGAAGACAAAATTATAAAATTAAAGAAAAAAACTGATATGTTTGTATGTGAAATGCAATTGGAACTGTAAGATGAGGATATGATTTCTTTTTAAGCAAAGAGTATGTACTGATTCAATTAATTTATATTATTTCAAAAATAAAAAATTGCATACTTGTCACTGTGCTTAGCTAAAAATGACTGAGTAGTCTGCAGAGCTTCAGCTATTTGTTCTTTCTTGGTTGACATTTCATCCAGGGAAATCTGAAAAATAAACAACCTGTGTTCAAGACTTAACTACGCACATATATAAAAAGAAAGACAAATAAACAACATACTATTTCTATCTGGGACTAAACTCAATAATATACGACCAGCTATTCTTAAGAGCAATGTTATTTACTATGGAATTGTATCATTTTTATATGGGTAAGTCACTGTGCTATACCTTTTGGTTAAATAATATGCTTGTATCAGCAAACTACTAGGTGAGACAAATAAAATTTTATTTTAAAGTGCTATTTGTTTGAAAATTAACCAATTATTTAAAACTATTTATTATAATTGGCATAGTTTAAAGCAGCTTTATAAAGATATGCATAAAATGGTCCTGTTCAAGAAGTTGCTCACCAAGATGATAGAGAACAACTTTTTAAAAAAACATATTAGAAGGCTACACTTTCATGAAATTCAGTGACAGAGACAAATGCAGTATCAGAGACTTGGAGAAAATTAATTACTTATTAATATTCTCCATGCTATCATTTCTGTATCATCCCCACCAAAGCGCTTGTTCTGGCAGAGGAACTTGCAAGAATTTAATCTTTTAACTTTTCTGAGAAACTGCCTGCAGTCTTTTTTTTCAGAGAAAAGCACTCATTTTGGATAAATAAAGGCAAAGTATCAAGGGGGAGTCTAGGATTTCATTAGCAAGCCCAAGATATGTTCAATGTCAGTGCTAAGAGAACTCTAGCGAGGTGCTTGGGCCCTGCATTCGCCCGGCTCCGGACACAACCAATCGTGTCCCTTTGTGCATCACTTTAAAGGGCCTGAACACAGCCTTGAACAGAGTCTCCCTTTGCAGTCACCACCAGTGAGCCACAAACCCACCACTTGTGCTGTGTGGACAGAAACCAAGAGAGCAAGCACTGTATGCACTACCCAAGAAGGTGATGCGGTGAGGCTGAGGTAGCAGGTGGGGTCATGAGCTCCGCTTTGCTCAGGGAACTGGCACGGCTGTGGCTGCTGTGTGTGCCCTGTCACGGCTGGCACCAGCTACACCCCACAGCAAGCCCCAAACCACTGTGTGAAATGTATTTCAGAGAACATGAGCTATCAAATCACTAGTCTACATGTTTCTACAAACTTGTCAAGGCACCTGTGCTAGTCAGTGGAGACATGAAACCATGCACCCCCCTGGGCCATTTCACAGTGGAAGAAAACACCCTCTGCAAACACCCGTCTCCCACGGGCTGAAGGAGGCCAAAGCAGCTAAATCACAGGTTACTTGCTGAGGGCTCAGGCTGGATGGGGAAGATGCCAGCCATAGTTGCCATGGTAACCTGAGGCGCTCTAAGGAGTTGAGCGCTGGCCCAACGCTGAGAAAGGTTCGTGCTGCTGTCATTACCAAGGGCAGAAAAAGACCAGTGTTGAATGTTTTCGCAAATCCTGATCCTAACTATTAGTGATTTACCAATCAGCATGCTCAAATCAAAACAAGCTTACTTCCTCCTACAGATGTATGAACAAATTGAGTAGCAGAACTAGCCCTGGTCCTCTTTGAACAAGCAGCACGCTGGGACCAGTGGCCATTGGGACTGCAGGACTGCCACCCTGCTCAAGAGCAAGCTTGATTTATGCACATGCTGCTTCAGAGGCTCTAACACGCCCTAGCATGCACGACCGAAATAAAACCACAGGAACAGGCTGCCAAGAGGACCAAAATCATCTTTGCATGAGCACACATCTAGCCCTGTACTGAGGGATGTGGAAAAGATACTGCTTCATCTCTGCTGCTCACTGTGCAGGTAGACCTTCACCTACCGAAATCTTTTTAGGTGTCACCAAGCTATTTTGTGGGACAAGCCTAGCATGGGAGCTGTTAGAAATGATAGGAAACGTCACAGATGGAAATTTATGGTCAAAGTTACAGCTGTACACAACAACAATGTACCTGTTAAATACAAAGGCGGCAAAGATGGGCCACTCCAGTGGCCTGTGGGCTAGTGTGATAATAAAGAGGGCTCAGTCAACACCTGCTGTATTCTCCAAGGCAGCAGTTTTGACTGCTCCATACAAGGACCCCTCAAAATAACTTTTTAAAAACAAATAAAAATAAACCTGACCCTCAGGCCCCTCCTGCCAATTCTTTCCTTCCTGGTGCCAGGATAGAAGCTACCAGACCTGCTCAGTGAACTATTTCAGGACAAGGGGGCAGACCGACAAAGTGCCATCCTGCCAGGACACACTGTCCCTCTACACAGGCTGAGTGATGGTCTGCTGGGTCTTCTTTCTTGAAACTGGCATTTTGCAGTGTCAGAATACATCACACACCAAGCCTGTAAAACATAGCTTGCACTTCTTCCCGAGTAACATGTTTGTGTCCCTAAACATTGATGTTCATTTACCTAACCCTCCATTCACAACCAAATGTGAAATTACATCTTTAGTAAAATGTCGATGGTGATTTGGAGAAAAAAAAAAAAAAAAAAAAAAAAGTATTTGTGGAATATTTTGTCATTTTAATCAACACAGAAAGCTAAAGAGAGGAAGTGCTATTTTGCCAAAAGACATCTGTATACCTGCTGCTTAGGCAAATCTGTCTTTTCAGCCTTTTCTCCTTCTTCTTTGCTGAGTGTCTTGCTGAGGTTTGACACCCATTTCAGCAAATCCCCAGCTTTCTCAACATGTTCCTTCTTTTCTTCTTCCATTGACTTCTGATGATCACCACAAATTGTAAAAAAACATGTAAATGTAAATTGTTGGAATATTTAACATTAACATCCATAGAAACACAGTTCTACCACAATGGCAATATTAGCACATAAACATAAAGTGATTTCTTTTTATTTATCACCACATGCATTACTATGACACTTTGATGTAGGAACAAATATGGCACATAAATATAGACATTAACATTTCCTCAAATGATTTTTAATTATGATTATGGTGCTTATTCATACACATATACACTCATTATAAAATGACTGATATTAAGAAAAAGCATAGCTTCCCAGCCATTACTCAGCAGAAAAAATCTAAACAACATTTGCATATAAAGTATCTTTGAATTGCTGCCTTTGCATTACCCTCAGGTGTGGATATGTACAGCCAGCATAGGAAATCAGCATTTTGCAATCTATGCACATGGACTACTAAATTACAATTAGGAAGAATACATTGCTTTTATGTCTACAGAAACAAGAACAATAGAAGTAAAATATTGAGACATTTCATCTTTTTCTACACAGGGAAATATACTTCTTTCTGTAGTAGCACAACCTGTTAGTAGTTTCAAATTTATCAATACTTAGAAAACACGCTTAAGCCCTCCCATGTATCACAAGTAAAAATGAAGTAATGTTATTTCAATGGAATTTTTAAAAATTGGATATGTAATTGTAATTTTTTTGCCTATTGCAGCATGAAAACAATTCTAAAAAAAAATGTTACCCAGAGAAAAATTAGAATGTGTAACTTTATGATGTAGCCCATTAAAATTAATGAAATACCAGTGTGAGAGAAATTACTTATGCATAAGCATTTACTGGACTGCAGATTTTACCCTTGTGTACTTTATTGCCACTTTAGTAAAATAAATTGTATCTGCAAACTGATTTGTAATATTAAATTAAGTATCAGGTCACATGAAACACTGCACTGTCCTCATTAGCAAAATGAGCCATCCCTTTCCATTTTTAATATAAGAATCTGATTCTTGTCTCACCTAAACTGATCCATTTGGCAGTAATGTTAACTCCACCAACCTCAGTATAACTTCTGATTTACACTACCTACATGTAGATAACACCAGACAAGGCCTTCAGGTGAAGACTGAACACATAGCCTGCATTTTGAAATTATGAATCTGCCTAAATTTATCTATGAATTTCAACTTTATAACAAGCAATATATAATTCCAATTTTAGTGGTTTATACTAATTAGTGGTTTGTACTAATTAGTTTTACAGCAATTCATGATTATATTGGAAAACACGATATATGATTTTCCATAAAGGTCATCACAGATCTTTTCCTTGATTTTAATGAGTTTTAAAGCAGGCCCCAACATGATTAGTAACATATTTGTTCCATTATGAAGTATAGTAAAGACTGGAAATGCCTGTTTTCATGGGCTGAGCTGCTTCTAACAATCGTAGCCCAGTGTGGCAGTCAAAAACAGCTCTCTCTAAAGCTTCTTTGTAGGTTAACTTTTTCTTTGTTTTGGGGCATGTTAAAAATTTAACATACAATTTTTCATCTTTCATCTTTGTAGCTGTGGCAGCATCAATAATACCATTCTTAATTGCATCTTCCATTGTTAATCTGGAATGAGACTTTGGATCTATCAACCCACCAGTCAAGTACTGATACTCCAGGCAGCGCATGCCCATTTCTTTGTCTACAGCATTTAAATGCATAGCTTCAACTGCTGACATAACTGTGTTCCTTACAGGGTGAATGATCCCAGTAAAGATCAGTTCACACTGCTGGATTTGTTTGGCACAACCATCATCAATTAATTCCCTCTGCAAAGCTTCTGAAACACTGTACCTTTTCCCAGTAAATGGATCAATTATGCCTCCTGTACTAACCTGAGCTTCAAGACATCGGAGGGCAGTAACTCTATCTACCAAGTTTTTGCGTGAGGCTTTTAAGACTGGAATTCTTTCATTGGTTTCAGAAAGCCAGAACCCTGCAACAGGACTCTTTAAATCTTTATTTGGCTGTGAAATGGTGACTAAAATATCACCAAACTCATTAGCTGTGATTAAACCCTCCTTATATTTATTGACCAATTCTCTGCCAATTCTACCCTGATTTAAGGCCTCCTCGATATTAAACTGTACACCAGTTTTAAGATCTGTGAGTAAAAGAAAAGAATTCCCATCAGATTCAAAACATGTAGACTCTTTCCAATCAAATTCCTGTTTTGAAAGCTCAAGATATGTAGCTTTATCAACACAATTTTTTTTATAAGCCTCATACGAAGTCATTTCAGCTCCTGTTTTGACATCTACTACAGAAATTTTATGACTTTTCTCTGCTGATGGGCTGCTTATTTTCCTTTCACCAACTGGAAGCAGAAAGCATTTACTGCTTACACTGAACACACACATTTTCAGCAAATCACAGTAGTACATAGCTTTCCTGTTATTTGGATTGTGAAAACATTTTGCATTACTAGAAGGTTCATGCAAAAATTTTAAAATTGTGTTATTGATCAAGCCAAGCTGCACGGCAGTTTCTGGAGGTACACGAACACTTCTTACAGGATCAATGACCCCTCCACTTGCAATTTGAGTCTCAAGGATATTTTTACCTTTTTGTCTTTCTAAGAGCCGAGCCTCCATAGCCTGATAGACAGAGATCACTTTCCCAGAAGAGCAATAGCCCAAAACAGCTTTCTCTGCCTCAAGCAGTCTACTCTTGAATTCATTATCTGCAAGCCCTCTAACAACTGAATCATCAACAGAGAATTTCTGACCTGTTGTGGGATCAATGATGAAACCAGTAGCTGCTTGGGCCTCTAAAAATGCTAATGCCAATGCTTTTCCTATGATTCTTCTCTTTGCTGCTAAAGCAAAAGAGAGTATCTCTTTGCTGGATTCAAGGTACAGCCCAGCAATAGCTGTAGGTTTAGTTAAAAATTTTTCAAGACTTTTCTGAACCTCATCAATAGTCTTCTGCCCTGAACGAAGCTGCTCAACCGTGAGTCTGTCTAAAAGTTTAACTTCAGTCAACTGTCTGGCAGTTACATCATGTCGGAGACCTTGAAATTTAATATAATCGTCTTCCTCTGTAAAATATTCCAACTCAGTAGCATCATCAACAGTTTTCAAAATCTCTTCCCCTAAGAAAGAGCTCATCTTTGCAAAGTCTTCTTTCCTAAACCTTTCGGATGTTTTGTATCCCTCAAACATTCTCTCTTCATTACCAAAAGTCTTGTCATTTCCTTGGTTTAATGTTGTGACTTCAACATGCATGTCATACTGCTTGTTCTTCACTATCTGTAAATAGGAATTTTTTGACATGGTGAGAAATACATCTGCAGAACTATGCTGAATATAATTCACTCCTAAATCCATCACCAGAGAAACAAAAGGGAGAACTTGAATGCAAGTCAAAAAGGAGAACTGCTACTAGCATTGGAGAGCAGAGAAATATAGATAGCTAGAGTTTTAAAGTACATTTGCCATTTCAAATATTTATTCAACAACAGAAATATGACTAGACTAAGCAACAATAACTGTTGCTACTCTATGAACTTAGTGCCATTAATCAAAGCTTATTTTGACTAATAATGATACAATATTGTATGTTAATTCCTATTTCCAACACAAACTGTTAAAATAATGTTTCTTAGATATTAAAAAACCTGCTACAAAGGTCTAATGAAAAGCTTTTTGTGTCTTGTAAGAATGAAGGCGTTCCCTTCACCAAGGTAAGAACATAAGAATCATCAGAGAGAATACAGAATAGCGATAACATATAACTAAAAACAAACAAACAAAAAAATAGAATAGTGAAAACCAGCACTAGGAAGGCAAACCCTCACAAAATGTAGTGTGTACCTCCAAGGGATGCAGTTTTACCACTCCTAATTCATGTTTTGTGTCTTCTCCATGTCTGATAGTTTGTCTGGAACTGTGTAGGTTCCTGTTTCTCAACTTGTCCCTTTCAGATGTTCCAGAGATCTGGCTTGCTTTATCAAAAGTTATTTGGAACTGCGTACTTGTTTGAGAAACAAACTCTGTAAAAGACTGTGGGCTTGAATCTTCTTCTAGTGACTGGTTTATTCTTGACATCTGGAACTGCACCTCTCCTGGTATCGTATCATCAGCACTCACGTACAATGTATTTCCTTCTATTTGATCACATTTAAAACCTGATCTCTCCTGCTTTTGCCTTAACAAAGGGGAGCTAAGTTTTGCATGTGGAGGAAGCTGTTCAAATTCTCTAGCTGAGGTGTCACTCAGGTAACTGAAATTATTCCCTCTTCTCTCACAGCTCAGTTTAAAGTCAGAATCTTGGAGTTTATTATTTTGCTGAACTTCATTCTGAAACAGAAGAAATCTGTGTTCACTCTCCCTGACCTGAAGATCCATTTTCTGTTTCAAGCTCTCAACTGTACGCTTCTGCACTTCCAATTCTTCCTCAAGTTTCCTGCACTTCTGGTGATAGTCCATTTCAGCCTGCTTCCCTTGTTGTAGCTGCTCATGACATTTTTTAAGCCTTTCTTGCAGATCTTCCATTTGTATCTTGTACAGCATGATGTTTTCCTCAGCCATATGCTTTTCCTGCTGAAGAGCAACACATTCTAGTTTTATGCCAGAAATGTCCTTTTCCGTGATACTATGGGATTCCAGCAATTTTTCAACTTTTTTCCTAAATTCTTCTGCAGAGTGTTTAAACTTAATAGATTCTTCCTGAAACAGAATCATCTTCTTGCGTGCCATTTGTTCATCCAGAGTCTTCTGATGGAGTTCATCCTGTAATTTTTTTAATTTACTACTTAGGTCTTGAATATGAGCCTGTTGTAGTTGTATCTTCTGTTCACTTACACTCTTTTCCATAGTTAGAGCATTCATTTGGGCATTTAAATTTTTAACCTCCCGGTCGATGGTGAGGGTGGAAGCAGTTTGTTTATCACATTTTTGTTTATATTCACTAGCTAAGTCTTTTGTTTTTGCTAAATCAGCTTCTAGGCTTTTGATTTTACATATGAATTCTTGCTCAATTATTGTTTGCTTGTGCAATTGTTCATTTGTTGTACGCAGTTGCTCTTTGAAACCATCTGCCAGGGCTTTTAATGCATCATTTTTCTTCTGGATACTTTGTTTTTCCAAAGTCATCTTCTCTGATTCAGACTGAATTTGCTTCATTAGCAGTTTTGTTTCCATATTCCATTTATTAAGGTCCTCTATCTTTAGTTTCAATGTTTCTGACACCTGATTACTTTTGGCTAATTCATTCTTCAGCATCTGAATTTCCTGCTGGTTTTCTTTCTCTACTTTTGTTTTTTGAAGCAACTGTTCTTGAATTTTCTTATATTGGTCTTGAAGATTATTTGCTTCTCCTTTGCATGACTGTGTTCTGTGTTCAGCTGCCAGCTTCTCTTTTTGAAGAGAACTGATTTGTGAATTTAAATGTTTGATAGTGATTTCAGTTTTTGTCTGTGATTTAGTTAATTCCTCTACTTCCCTTTTTAGCTGTGTCTTTTCTTGCTGAAGAGATTTCAGCTCCTCCTGATAGTTCATCTTAATTTTCTTAAGATCTATAGCTTCTTGCATCACCTCTTCAGCTTTACCCGTGGTTCTATGTAGCTGCTTGTCCAGTTCTTTCAACTGTTGCAAATATCCCTGCTCTACTTGGTCTTTTTCCTCCAACTTAATTTTTAGGCATTTAACTTCACTATTGACTTTATCTAGTTTTTCTTTTAATAAACGAGACTTTTCTTCTGTTGATGATTTCTGAAGCTCAATTTCATTCAGTTCATATTTCAAGTCTTGAATAGTTTTATCAGCTTTTTTGTTAGCAACGGTTAGTTTATCTATCTTCTGTCTAAGCTCTTCTACTTTTTTGGCTTCTTGTCTCTTCTGGAAACTTGTAATTTCAGAATCAGTCCTACATTGGTTGCCTTGCCCAGCTGTGAAAGTTGGCAGGGAAGTTTCGCTCATTACAGAGTATCTGCCTTCAGCAACCTTCCTTCTGGTTTCAGTTTTCTTTATTTCTTGCAGCTTTATTTCTGATAGGTTTCCTTTAAATTCAAGATCTTGTTCCATTTGTTTGATCAGTTTCATAAGTTTCTCTTCTCCTTCATTTTTTTTCTTCAGCTCCTGCATTAAGGTTTTTTTTTGTTGCTCTAAATCATGAAGATTAGTATCTTTTCTTCTTAGATGCTCTTCAAGGTTTCTTCTGGTAAAGGTGCTTTCTTCTATTTGATTTCGAAAAGCACGGAGGTTTTCTTCCAGTATATTTCTTTGAGTCTCTGCCTGAAAAATGAGCTGCCTTACACACTCCAACTCCTGCTCTGCATCTGCTTTCTCTTTCTCAATGTTCTGTAGATCTATACGACACTGCTTTGCGTCTTGCTCAGCCTTGGTCTTCTGAAGACAGATCTCTTCCATGTCCTTTTCCTGCTTCTTCCGCTCTTTTTCTGCAGCTTCCCTCACTTTAGGGAGTTCCTGTTCCACTTGGAATTTTTGTTTCTTCATATCCTCCAACATTTCCTCAAGTGTTTTTACCTTTCCCATGAGTTTTCTGTTCTCATCAATTGTGCTATTTTGCTGTGCCATTAGATCTGAATATGCCTCACGCACTGATGCTTCCTTATTCTTTAAAATCTGTAAAAGAAATAGATAAATTGGAAGGTACTTTTTGTAAAACAGTACATGAGACATTAGGCTCTTTGAAAAGCAGAATGGAAAATACTTACTCATATCTATACGGTACGTCCAGAAAGTAGGACGAGCAGTTCCCACCACCATCACCTTCTCTTGAAGGCTTCAGGAAGTTACCATTAGCCAAATATGAAAGCCTTCATAAAGACATCCACCAAGCGAAGAAGTCCTGAAGCCTCTTACTTCAGTCAGATGCCTCTTAGCGGTAAGCAGCATCAAACAACAGCTCGCATAGGCTTTTTCTCCAAACAAACAGGTAGAGTAGTGAGCCAAACAATATGTGCAAGAATTCCCAAGGAGAAAGTGGCCTCCCATTTCTGGATCAGTTCATTAGGAATCGAAAGAAGGATTTTATGCTTGCAAGCCAAAATAACACAAGAGAAGTTTGGAAATCTCCTCCAAGAAAAGAAACAGTATCTAGAGCTAGAGCCAAGATGCAACAAATCCAGAAAGAGAAGCATGTAAATCCCAGTATATCTATGCTCTGTAGAGTGCTCCACAGTCCCAGTGCTTCCACTGGCTCAGCAAGGGGACTGGTAAGAGCACAGCTGCTCTGCAGTGTAGATGAAGTGTAAACATGGTAATTAGTAAAATCCTAGTGAAAACCAGTCAGCTAGCAGTCTCCACATATTGGCAGATCAAAAAAAAAAAAACTCTTAATAAGCAAGATGTGTATTCACCAGTAATAATGTTGAAAGCATACATACCTTGCCTTTGTTAGCATTATTATGGCGTTAGTTACCAAATCTGAGCTAATGTGAGGTAAGAACACATGTATATTCCTATTATCATAAAACATGGCATGAGGGGTAATTATAGCAACATTTTCAAATAAACAAAATGTCGGTTTACTTCAAATTGACCAGATTTACTTAATTTTTAATATGATATATGAAACTTATTTCCTAAAAGGCTAATGCAAAGGCAGCTTCTTTAGTTCCTCTCCATATTTCCCCTGTGTCACAATTCTGAACAGACCCCAATGGATACAAAACATTTAAATTGGTTCCTTATCAGATCTCCTTTTGTGCTTCCATAGACACTAAATCTAATGTATTATGCTTGAAAAAGAACTAAAAATTATAGTCACAAACTGTATTTTGTTAGTTTTCATTATTTCTAATTGACATGACTGAGCATCAGCTGGGTAGAAAAAAGGATGGTAATTAAATAGTAATACAAAATAAACATAAAAATAAATTTATAAGAACTTAACAAAATTAAGCATCTCAAAATGCACAGTGATTGATATATAATTAGCTTATTCATTGTTTAAATTACATTCAATCAACTTTAAATCACTTGACCTTGACATATTTTGCGATTGAAATGTTGATTTAGATTGGTTTAGAATCATCCTTAAATTAATTGTTTCACTTGCATTGCATAAAAACTCTGGTACCTTAATAACAGCTGTGCTCATGTTCTCTTCATTATGATTGACTCTTTTTTTTTGCTTTCCATTTTTTTCAAGTGAGGCTTTTTTCCCTGTTTTTTCACAGAATGTTTTCTGAAGTTCAGTGTTTTTTCCAGGTACCTTTGTGTTATGACCCTTATCTCTACTGTCCATTACTGCAACTAGCAATAAATCTTCATGTTTCTGACCCTGTTTTAATTTGTCTTCTCCACACTGCTTCTCCCCACTTGTATTTATGTTATCCAAACCATAAATTTTGCCCTGTTGTATCTTCTTCTTATGTATTTTCTCACCGTGACTCAACAGCTTTTCT